TAAAAACTGGATATTCATACAATAGAACTTTTGTGTCTTAATGGGTATATTAGAAGGAAGTTGGAAGTTATCACTAAAAATATGTTTTTGGTTTCTTATTACAAAAATAACATTTATTTTAGGAAAGTTAGTTCAATTCAATAAGCAATAAGAAGAATATAAAAGTCAACTATGAAAAAAAAAAGTCAACTATGATCCTTCTGTATCAGTTATGAACTCTCTACTGCAAGTTTTAGAAAACCTAGCCAACAGTGACTAAACATGTAGGAATTTATTTGTATTACATAAGAAGTATGTACTTTATGTAGTTCAGCTGTTTAACAATGTCATTTTAAAAACCTAGGCTCTTTTGATCCTTCTGCTCTATATTAGCATATTAACTTTTTCCCTTCATGCTTGTTGACTCATGGTTTCAGAATGGTTGCTGCCGGTCCAGGGATCATGTCCTTACAACCTTCATTCCAAACTGCAGAAGAAGAAAAGAGGTCGCGCTAGCAACTCATGTTAACTTTTTCATATCAAAGCAAAGCCTCCCACTCTAAGCATCTCAGCAGATCTCAATGCCAGTATTGAGTCACATGACCATTCCTATGCACAAGGGACCTTGGGCAGATGAGAAAGGTTTCCTCTTTCTTTAGTAAGGGATGGAAAGGAAGAAAGAGGTTCAGAATGGCTTCAGTTTAGCCAAAAAAAGTCTACCAAGGCAGTCACACAAATTTTACCCTGTCATATTTTGTTATATTCACTTCCACTCTTTCTTAGACATAAATACGCTTTTTAAAAAAAATAAATTTATTTATTTATTTTTGTCTGCGTTGGGTCTTCATTGCACGCAGGCTTTCTCTAGTTGCAGTGAGCGGGGACTACTCTTCATTGCGGTGTGTGGGCTTGTCACTGCGGTGGTTTCTCTTGTTGCGGAGCACCAGCTCTAGGCACGCGGGCTTCAGTAGTTGTGGCACGTGAGCTTCAGTAGTTGTGGCTCTCGGGCTCTAGAGTGCAGGCTCAGTAGTTGTGGCGCACGGGCTTAGTTGCTCCATGACATGTGGGATCTTCCCGGACCAGGGCTCGAACCCATGTCCCCTGCATTGGCAGACGGATTCTTAACCACTGCACCACCAGGGAAGCCCTAAATATGCTTTAAGTATTTACAAAAATGATATCATCCTTCACAAACTATTTACTAGCCTTTTTTTCACTTAAAACAGTATGGCAGTAAATACAAATGGCATAATAATTTTATATGCCTGCATGGTATTTCATTATTTGGATGTGCTGTAAGTTAACCATACCGTTATTACCAAATGTTTAAATTGCTTCTTAATTTTATATTCTAAATAATATTGTAATAAAGGTGCTTGTATATACAAATTTATTTTCTTAGAATATGTTCTCTGAAGTGGTTTTCAAGGAAAAGCATGTATACAATAAAAATTATATAAATATTGCCAAACATTGCCACTCTGGAGGAGAGTGACCCAGAAACCCACTCCTAGCTGTGTGCCTCATATTGGTGTTTTTCAAACACTGGTCTTGATTCATAATGGACAGTGACATCAATTTGTGGATTGTTAACCAGTGTTTTAAAAACCCACCTAAAACAGAATAGAATAGAATACAGTATTAGCATACTTTGCTCATATTTTAGTGAAACTTCTGTTTCCTCTGTGAGAGTGTGTGTCCTGTACTGTGTCATGAAGCAAAATGAGTATTTTGCCAAGGGTTACAGACAAAACTTTTTTTAAATGTTCCCATAGAGAAACACTCATGCATACCTCCTGATTTCCCCCACTCATTTAAAATTTCTGTTTGTTGTTAACTGCCTTGATAAGAAGTTCTATAACAGTAACAGATTATAGCGGTGACGGCAGCGCTCCTGATTTGCTTCGGACCTAAATGAAAATGTGTCCCATGAAGTTTTTTTTTTTTAAGATTTATTTATTATTTATTTATTTATTTAATTTAGTTTTGGCTGCATATGGTCTTAGTTGCAGCACGCAGGATCTTCGTTGAGGCATGTGGGATCTTTCATTGTGGTGCCCGGGCTTCTCTCTAGTTGTGGCGTGTGGGTTTTCTCTTCTCTAGTTGTGGCTCACGGGCTCCAGGGCGCATGGGTTCTGCAGTTGTGGCGCGCGGGTTCTAGTTGAGGCGTGTGAGCTCAGTAGTTGTGGCACGCGGGCTTAGTTGCCCCGCGGCATGTGGGATCTTAGCTTCCTGACCAGGGATTGAACCTGCGTCTCCTGCACTGTAAGGCATATTCCTTACCACTGGACCTCCAGGGAAGTCCCCCCATGAAATTTTGAAATGTAGAATTTTCACTGTTAATAACTAGCCTGTCAGTGAAGTTTTCATTTCCTCTTTACATCGTTTCATAAAGGTTTTCTTTTTTATTTATAAGGAGTTGGATTTATTTTTAGTTAACTGTTATAATTAATTTATAGTTTTATTACCTGTGGTCAGATAATATGCATTGTGCTGTATAATTTCTACTTTTTTGGAAGTTAATGCGATTTTCTTTGTGGATGAGGATATGATCAGTTTTTCCAACTTTTGTGTTTTTATAACAATTCCATTCTTATAAGAATTCTTTAATAATAATTATGTATATTTGTGTATATTTATGATATATAAATACTCATTTACATTCTAAACTATTAATGTGGATTTGTAGCTGTTTCAGGCTTTTGAGACTATAATCAACTTGAATACTATTGAGAGATCTGATTTTTTGGTTTACTTTTGGGGGGGTTTATTTGGTCTATTCTTTTATATCTAACCTTGCTGTGTCATTTTACCTAACCTGTAAATTTTAAAAATAGTTTATAGTTACCTCATGTTGACATTCTTGTAGAGTGTAACCCATTCACATTTATTTTGAATATATTTGATTTTCTCTTTTATTATGCTTTCAGTATTAGGGCTTCCTAGATATTTCTTTTTTTTTTCTTTTCATGTACTTTGATATTTGATTAATTTTGTATGCTTCTTTTTCTTCCTTTAGTGATTTGGAAGTTATGCATACAACTTTCTTCTGTATATTCCAAACTTTTAAATCAATGTCTAGAATGAACACTATATATTGACCATCCCTTCCCTCCAACAACAATGAAAATGCTTTTCCTTTCCTTTTTGGTTAAATAATTGGGAACTTTAGATCCAGGTTATTACATTAAACATTTTTTTAAAATATGCACCTTATATTTCAATAAAATATTTTCACATAACTACATTAATATTACTAATACTTAACTATATTTTGTGATTTCATCGTTTACTGCTATTTATTTGAAAACCCTATCTTATTCGTCCTTGGGCTCTTTTATTTTGACTTATTTCTCGATTAGCTTGAGTAAATCTTAATAGTACGGAAAAATGTCTGTCTGTCCTTAATGTCCATAATGTCTGTCCTTGCATGTCTGAATTCGTCAGATACTGTTTTAAAAGAATACCTAAAGTTTTGGAGTCAGATAAAAGTAGATTCAAATGTTAGCTCTTCCTCATTATTGCCCTGAGACAATGGGGAAGTCTCTTCACCATTTTTTTTTTTTTTTTTTGCGGTACACGGACCTCTCACTGTTGTGGCCTCTCCCGTTGCGGAGCACAGCCTCCGGACGCGCAGGCTCAGCGGCCATGGCTCACAGGCCCAGCCGCTCCGCGGCATGTGGGATCTTCCTGGACCGGGGCACGAACCCGCGTCGCCTGCATCGGCAGGCGGACTCTCAACCACTGCGCCACCAGGGAAGCCCCCTCTTCACCTTTTTGACTCAGTTCCTCCTGTGTAAAATGAAGGCACCATCAGCTATTTTATAGGATACATAAGGATCATACCAAGTGTAAGTGGGAATCATTTTCTCTGGGCTACAGAAAAGCTCACCATCTGGTCTCCAGACCCCCTTGCCTGGGAATGTTACCGTGCTTGCTGTTCTACACACACACCTTATTGTTTCTCACTTTGAACTGTGCTTCCGCTGCTGTCTTTGCTTGGACGTCCCTTTCTTCCCACTTCTAACCCCAACGCATGGGCCAGACACAGTCTGTAAGACTGAGTCCAACACGGGGATTTGAGGAAAGCTTCCAGAAGGAAATAATATCTGCATTAAATGTGCCTTGCCTGAGTCCTCTCACCACCCAGTAAATGTGCACTTCACTTTAGACTTCAACTGTTACACTGTTTGCACGGAATCCTCCTCCTCCTAGGCTAGATTCCGGGATGCCACAGGATGGAGCAAACACAAGTAGAATTAAATACACCACTATGTCTGAACGTAGTGACTAGTTCATAGTAGGTGCCCAGTAAATACACCCAACTAACAAACTGAGACTGGCACGTTCCTCTCCTGCCCTATTTTCTGATAATGAGGTTGGATGTCTCTTCCTCGGGGCAACCATTTCAACTTGTTCAGGGGCCTGGGGCAGAAAAGCTGAAGCCACAGCAGCTCCCAACATCTGAATACTTTCATTCTTTTACTTCATTTTGGGAGAGGTAAGGGGACGGCTCAGGACCCTTGCTTTAACTCAGTGATTTTTAGACTTGCCCATCAGTGCAGTACTTCTGAGTCCAGCTAGACTAGTGAAGTCTTTATTTTCTTATTCCCAGGCGAATCAGATATTAACCTCATACGTGGTTCTAGAATAGGCAAAGATGCACTAGAAGAATTAGTAGTTATAAAAAATCTATAGAAAAAAGTTTCAGTTGAGACATTCTGTGTACTAATTAATTTTTGTTATTGTTGTTTCAAATTGGGAAAGACAACCATTAACCAATTTTTGCCAGTCCCTGTCATGAGACACCAGTGCTGTATAGGAATGACGTTTAAGGGCCTCTGCTCCAGTTAAACAAAATTAGAATTAAATACACCACTTATCAATAATACATTCTTTTATTTCATGAAAAGGAATAAAAATTTTTGTTTTGACTAATGGTATTTGCTTCCTAAAATAGGCTCATCACCCTACCTTGATTATTGAAGAAAGTAACCATTTACTGTCTTTTTCCTTCTTAGGCTGTGAGGTTGAGATTCTTGGTGTCAGACCTACTTACTGCCTAGAATATAAAAATGTCCCAACGGATATCAATTTTGCCAATGCAGTCAGCGATGCTCTTGACTTCTTCAAGTAAGTGTCCCAAATTCTTAGCCATGCCACTCTTCTTCCTGTTTCCAGGACCAATAATGAATGCTAAAGTGGATTAAAAAGGCTTGGTGTAGGTGAAGTATGTCTCAGAGAGGTAGCGAGCCTCTCACACGGTGATTGCTACCCTCTAGTAGAGGATGATTGTGTGTTGAGTAATTTTAGGTAGGGGCACCCTTTGGAAACGTTGAATTGAGAGCAAGGAAGTCCCCAGGGGTTGAGGACTTTCTTCTTTGTGTTGATGGAAAATAGAGAAGCAATGTGAATGTCAGCATTTCTCTAATCATGATATAGTGAATGCCTGACTCTCCAAAGATATAAGTTTTTGACAAAAGAAGGAAGATCTTTGGTGGAATAAGTTTGGAAAAATTGTCTACTCTGCCATCTTCTTGGAAATGTACAAAGCCTATTAGCATATTAGTACATAGAACCTTTTTTTTTTCTCTTCCACATGGAACTATCACACCCAGTTTGAAAAATGCAGAAATCAGTAATGGTCTGAATAGCACACGAGTGTGTCAGGGAAACTGACTTATTTCTAAGTTTTCAATTAAAAAAAAATGTATGTATTTATTTATTTTTGGCTGGGTTGGGTCTTTGTTGCCGCGTGCAGGCTTTCTCTAGTTGCGGCGAGAGGGGGCTACTCTTTGTTGTGGTGCACAGGCTTCTCATTGCGGTGGCTTCTCTTGTTGTGGAGCATGGGCTCTAGGCGCGCAGACTTCAGTAATTGTGGCACACGGGCTCAGTAGTTGCGGCTCGCGGGCTCTAGACCGCAGCCTCAGTAGTTGTGGCGCACAGGCTTAGTTGCTCTGCGGCATGTGGAATCTTCCCGGACCAGGGCTCAAACCCGTGACCCCTGCATTGGCGGGCAGATTCTTAACCCCTGCGCCACCAGGGAAGTCCCTCAATTTTTTTTTTAACACTCAGCAACTTCAACCATTCCTTTAACCACTCTCTCTCCCTAATTCTCTGCAACCCACTTCAGTAAGGAAAATTGATGTGACATTGTGAACTCTTTACATTGAAAAGAAATCTGGACAGGATCCTAAGGTGATGGGAGATCTGGGTGTCCCTGAAATCCAGGGTTGGGGGCCTCTTGCAGCTCTCAGGTAATTGGGCCGCTGGCTACATGTCCTTCTGGCATGGTTCCTGGGCTGAAAGCTATAAATGGCCAATAACAGATCTGCAGGCGTTTCCACCCATCACTCCTCACCCAACCGCTCCATTACAAATGAGCTGACCAGTGATGGAGACCAGATCCATGTGGAAAACAGCTGGCCACCAAGAATTTGTCAGCTAAACTCCAACAGGCAAGAGCTCTTAGCCCTTGAAGACTCAGGTCCCTCATGAATCAATGAGCTCCAACATAGAAGTCTTTCACAAAAGGCATATGTATAAATCCCTGAATCTCAACCATCACAGTTCCAGTGTTCCTGGCATCTGGGGTTGACAGCTTCCTGACACAAAGCCATCAGGTGAATCTGTGAGACTTACTAGCTTTCTGATCACACGGAGATTTATGAATATGGCAAATAGCCTTAAAGAAACCAGCCCAGTGGCTGCTGTATTAAGGTGAAGTGTCTAAAATGTAGTGACCTGAAAGCATTTCATTGAGCTTTAGTGCAACCAGTAAACCTTGTGAAATTTTTCCCACATACAAGCCCCACCCTGGAAGTGTACACACCTAAACATAGGATGTTCTGTGTGAACCAGTGCATCTGGGATGCTACAGGCACAAGTACAAAAGGCAGCTAAGTGCGGAGACATATCCGAGGGTATGATTTTGTGGAAAGTTCCATTATGTTCAAACGTGGTGGAGGAAATGCCATCAGTCCATCAGTGTAATGAACATGGGCCTCAAAAGAGTTTAGGGATATGTATGAAAATGCCATTCCCAAGTTAGAACTTTTCCCTACTGCCTACACACGTGTGGAACCCTTAGTGACTTTTTGTTCCCTGCTGTCTGTAGATGCAGGGGGCATTTGTATTAGTCATTCATACACTAGCGAGTATGAATGATGATAATATTATTTGTGAGAAACAAGCAAATAATAACTTACCCCAATCCCCATTGTGGAGGAGGGGGGACATGGTATTTGTTAAAGAAGGGCCAGTCTGTTTTGTTCTAAAAGGAGAAAAGAAAACTTGACTAGCAATTTCCCTTAACTGGAAACCAGCATATCCTCCAAACTGTGAATGAAGTACACCTCAGGGTACAAGAACATCACAGCATCATTAAAAGGTGTGCCCTCTTGGCAAGTATGACCATGGTGAAGGAAGATGCCAGGCTGAACATTCTCTGGAACCGATCCCCGTGTAGTGAATGGAGTCGGTGTGGACATTCAAAAGCCTGGGCTGGTGGAGTCAAGTGTTCTGACCTTGGACGTGGGAAGTTCACATCTCCAGTCCTAGCCATGTCTCAGAGGTCCGTGAGGCCTAGAATCCCTTTTGGCCTATTTCCTCATCTGCAAAATCTGCAGATGCTTTTCTCTAGGGACGCTTTTCATCTCAGATCCAGAATCTGGAGGCACATCCAAGCCGCAGACGTAGAGCTCATGCCGAGAGATGAAAGTGACTCCGTTTCACTGCTGCCTTTGCCTTGTCTCACGCCCCACTTTCTTGGGGTTGGTGGGATTCTTATAGCAGAATAAGAACCACTTCCACGTGGTCATTTGGCTTTAGCAGAATGTTTCCCCATTGGTGCGGGCTGTTGCGTTCTCTCAGAGTATTTGGGTCAGGGTGTCGGAGCTCCACCTGGGTCTCAGTGCTGGCTCCACTTCTCATGAGCTGTGTGATGTGGGCAACAGTACTGAACTCTCTGTTTAACGTATTCCTGCCTGATAGGGTTGCTGTGAGGATGAATTACGATAATGTATGAAAAGCCCTCAACGTAGTGCCTGACCTAGAATAACTATGATTTATTGAGCACTTACTATTATTATACCTTCAACTGACAGTTACAGAGCTCCTACTGTATGCCAGACCCTAGGCTGAGCTGAGACACAACGGAGAATGAATGCATCCCAGGGTGAAAAACCCCGCAATTTAGAGGGGAGGGAAGGACACATAAGCGGGCAATTACCGCACAGTGTGAAAAATCACAACCCAGAGATGAACCAGGAAAGCCGTGGGAGTGCCCAGGAGGGCCACCCACCTGAGCCTGGGCCTCAGGGATGCTTCCTAGAAGAAGCACCATCTTCCTGAGACCGGAAGGATGGGAGGGGTTGTGCAAACCACGCTCTGGAACTGCTGTGAGGTTCTTTTTCCTCTTCTGTGGATTGCAAGGCCCAAGGCACCACAGGCACTAAGGATACATTCCAAGTGTCAGGGGAGACCACACCAGGAGAGACCAGGCCGCCTCACTTGTGTGTTTGTTTAAATAGAGTTTTTCAAGAGAAATAAGGCAGTCTGCCAAGAGGATTATTTATTAACCCTTAAAGTCCAAACAAAGGAGTTAGCCTTCATTCCTTTTCCACTGCTTCCTCTTGTCAGTCGCTGTTACTGCTACCCGCACCATCACCATCATCAGCGTCATTGCTCTGTTCAGGTGCTTTGGGGGACGTTGTGGGCAGGGCAGTCACAGTGGGAAGCTGTGCGCTGTGTGGAGGAGGGGGAACATTGCACGGTGTTTTCTCCCCCACCCCCCGACTCCCTCAGCCTCCTACTCCAGGTTTGTCACTAGTTCCCACTCAGTCTCAGCTTCGCACGGAGGGTTAAATAGTTGGATTTTTACCACCAGTACTCTGGCCGAGGGGGGCGTTTTTCCGGGATGCAGAAAGTGTGGTCAGTGCTAGAATTCACCCTGTGCCCACCCTGGAGCTGACCCTTCCTGGGTCCCCAGAGACATCAGGCCCTGAACACAAACACAAACCTGTCTGCCTCCTGCAAGGTTGCCTGGTAAAGCTTGTTCTTATTCTTGTGGGTCAGTGAAACCTACAGTCTAGTGTTTTATTTAGAGGCTCCCTCGAAGACCAGCAATAATGGAGGAGACTTTTTTTTTTAACATTTTTATGGGAGAATAATTGCTTTACAATGGTGTGTTAGTTTCTGCTGTATAACAAAGTGAACCAGCTATACATATACATATATCCCCATATCTCCTCCCTCCTGTGTCTCCCTCCCACCCTCTGTATCCGAGGAGACGTTTTTTGAATGATTGCTTCTCTTTTCTCTGAGCTTCTGGTGACAGCTGGTGGTGAGGGGAGTTATCAGAACTGTCCCCTGCCTGTCGCCACCTCTTCCGACTCCTGGGTCATGATGAGCTGAGAGGCGAGGTGACCCATAAGCATGCTCCCTGACTTTTGTCACCAGGGTGCCCGGGACTGGCACCTTCTCCAAGGTTCTCTCTCCCTTGGAGAACCCCCTTGTTCTTTTTAAGGTATCGCTGTGCCTGGACCACAGGGCAGGGGCTGGAGGATGCCCATGCCTCCGCCAGGACCGCCGGGTGGGAGGGGGGAAAGCTGGCAGGGCCTCTCTCAGCTCTCACCCTGCCTGCCCCCTCCCCAGGAGCGGCCAGGCGGACCTGGTGGCCATCTACTACGAGCGCATCGATGTGGAAGGCCACCACTATGGGCCCTCGTCGCCACAGAGGAAAGAAGCCCTGAGGGCCGTGGACACCGTCCTGAAGTACATGACCACGTGGATCCAGGTGACCGAAAACCAGGACCACTGGGCTAACCTTCCCTCTGTCACTCTTCTTCTGTCTCCTTGACTGTCACACCCCTCGACATCTTCCTTCTTACTGCTGAGAGCTGACTGGGCCAGCTCAAGGGTCTGAGGGGTCTCTTTTCATCACACAATGCCTCCCCAGGTACCACGAGCTCCCTTGTCTTACAGCCAGGCCAGTGGCACTGCAATGACCCAGATCTGCATTACAGCCTGGCTCAGCTGGCGAGATGGCCTGATGCTTTACCAAACCATTAAGTCTGGTAACCAGATTGGCGTGGGTGTGGAACCCAGGCCTGGGTTCTCTCCCTGATTCTGCCACACCCTTACTGAATGACTTTTAGCAAAGTATTACTTTTAAACTTTAAAAAATTTTATTTTTTATTGAAGTATAGTTGATTTACAATGTTGTGTTAGTGTGTTAGTTTCAGGTGTACAGCAAAGTGATTCAGATATATATATATAGAGAGAGAGGTAGATAGATTATATATGGTTCTTTTCCGTTATAGGCTATTACAAGGTATTGAATACAGTTCCCTGTGCCATGCAGTAGGTCCTTGTTGTTTATTTTATGTAAGTAGTGTGTATATGTTAATCCCAAACTCCTAATTTATCCCTCTCCTGCCACTTTCTCTTTGGTAACCATAAGTTTGTTTTCTGTCTGTGAGTCTGTTTCTGGTTTGTAAGTGAGTTCATTTGTATCATTTTTTAAAATCCCATATATAAGTGATGTCACATGATATTTGTCTTTGTCGGACTTAAAATATTACTTTTTTAAACTTTCGTGGGGTTAATTTTTCACACGTGTAAAACGGGCGAGTGATAGTTGTATTCCCACACAAGTTGGTTGAAAGACCCAAAGAGGATGAAAACAGAAAGGCTACCTTAAAAGGCTGGCGCCTCATATGTATTATGTTCCGCGCTAATCGGACGGGCACTGGCTCTCTCGTTCCCTCCCTGCAGCGCTTCTGCTACGATTTTGCACCGTGTCTTATAGCGCAGACAAGCAGATGGTTAAATTCAGAACTGGGGAAGCAGGCTTTCTCCTATAACCTGTAGTTGAAAACACCTCTTTGCCAGACAGCTGGTGTAAGAGGGTCCCCGTCTCGGCGCCGTCCTGACTGCCTGTCTCCCCACAGGAGCGCGAGCTGCAGGACGACCTCAACGTCATCATCTTCTCAGATCACGGGATGACTGACATTTTCTGGATGGACAAAGTGATTGAGCTGGATAAGTACATCAGCCTCCATGACCTGCAGCAGGTGAAGGACCGAGGGCCGGTTGTGAGCCTGTGGCCGGCGCCCGGGAAGCATTCTGAGGCAAGACGGGGGAGAAGGGTGGGTGGGGGGGGGGACGGGGCCAGAGCGCACCCTCAGAGGCCATGACTCTGCACTGAGTCTGTGTGTAGCTTTAAGGCGGAGGCACAGGGCAGCCTCGGGAGCCGGGACTCTGGCGGCAGATGACCCACCTGCCCCCGTCCTCGCCGAGTGACCTCGGTCCAGTGCTTCATCCTCCCGTGTCTTCCTTTCTCTGAAGCGGGCACTGAACGTTAGTGGGCACGAAACGAGACGAGGGTGTGCAGCGCCCAGCACGTGGCGCGGGGCCGGTTCGTTCTTGGCCAAAATGCAGCCCTTCTCCTGCGCAGCTGGGGACAGCGGAAGCTGGCACAGAAGGCCCTTCTCTGGAGGAAAGCCGCCAGGCTGACCTGTTCTCATCAGGGACTGGAGAGAAGAAGGCGACGGACGAGCACAGGCTGAGGCCGCGTGTGCCATGGGTCGGCCCCGTAGCTCGGAGCCACGCGGCCGGCCGGGGTTCAGACCCCCGCTCTCAGCAGCCGAGCAGCTCCCTAAGCGGCCCTCCTGCGCTTCTCTGCTGCGTGTGCTGACTGACGACACGGTAGCTGCCCTCCTGGGCGGCCGTGAAGCACGGGAATCAGCTGGGTCCGCTGCAGGGACGATGTGTGTGTCGCCTACGGCGATTACCACCATCCAAGGGGGCGTCCCCAAGAGGCCGTGGCGGAGTTCCCACGGCGTGCAGATGGCGTGGGGCAGGGCTCCCGGGGACTTGGCACGCTCGATGACGAGGCCCCTGCTTACCCCTCCCTCCAAACAATCCTTCCCTCCGAGTGGAGGGTAAACCATGCTGAGAAGGTGAAGGAGCGAGTGGCCCCGCCGGCTGACTGCTTTGGCCCGTGTGGCCTGGGCGTCTCCCAGCACAGGCTCTGGGCCTCTATCCCCTGGGGGAGGCCTCCACCGCTGCCAGGGGCGGTGCATCGGCAGGGAGATGGGAATCAGCCTCGGCTGGGCCGGCTGCCTGCCCTGCTTCCCCACGGCAGGTGTAGGCTGGGATCCGGCCGTTTTGGCCCAGACAGAGACCTTCCTCCCAGCCCTGACCACTCCCTCCCACATGAGAGTCCGAGATCTGTGTGTCTGGGGTTGAGGAACTCGGTGCCCGCAGTGCGGCTTCTCCCCAGCCTCGTCCCCTTCCCCCGACGGGTGCCCCCTTTTCTCAGGCTCCACGGTCAGCACGTGGAGGTGCTGAATATGTTTGCACAGGCTTCTCGTGAACTCCTTAAATATGAAACTGGGAAGAATATTTTACACGTTGGCAGGTCCCACAGTAAATGGCTTCTTGCAAAGAAGTTCTGTTTTCCTGGCAAGGAACATCATCTGTTATCTCCTATCTGGCACCTAGGGACATGCCGCCTCCAGGATGCTAGAGCATCAACAGCTCACGAGCTGGGAAGAGCTTCTTTCTTCCAATGTGGTGTGTACATCAGGCAGTTGCAAGCTGCCTAAAACAGTTGGTAGATTATTCAGAACTGGGGCTATGTTTGGGTGACACTTTGTCACGTGACGGACACAACAGTTTGTGAGGCCCGTTATGTGCCATCAGAGTTTTCACTTATGCAAAATCTTTCTGGTAATGCCCCCTACTTTTCTTAAGAATTATGGATTTTCTTAAGTAGGAAATCAACTCCTGGGGCCAGTAGAAACTCTACTAAACAGCCTAAAGACTAATTATTTTCCAGAGTTGAATTGATAAACTCAATTTTATATTCAGTTCTACCCAGGAATATATGCCAGCTTTGGCTAAGGGCCAACAAATCAACACCAGCCGGTTGATTTTAATTTTAGCCATAAAGATTTAAGCTGCTGCTAAATATTGGAAAGAGGTACAGGGTTTACATCTTCATCAGAAAATTAGCAGTGTAATTAATGGCAAACAGTCACTAGTATTTTAAAATCAGGCATAGGGCTTCCCTGGTGGCGCAGCGCTTAAGAGTCCGCCTGCCAGCGCAGGGGACACGGGTTTGAGCCCTGGTCTGGGAAGATCCCACGTGCCGCGGAGCAACTAAGCCTGTGGGCCACAACTACTGAGCCTGTGCTCTGGAGCGTGCCAGCCACAACTACTGAAGCCCGTGCCACAACTACTGAAGCCCGCGCGCCTAGAGCCCGTGCTCCGCGGCAAGAGAAGCCACTGCAATGAAGACTAGCTCCCACTTGCCGCAACTAGAGAAAAGCCCACGCTCAGCAACAAAGACCCAACGCAGCCAAAAATAAATAAAAATAAAATAAATAAATTTATTTTAAAAAATCAGGTGCAGCTAGGACATGCTCTAGGTCTAGTCAAAGAATAAATGCTTTTCTTTGATCTTGGTGGTGTTTAACGTCAGGCAGAACAATTTCTCATTCACCTTTTTATTTTACTGTAGGATTTTTGACATAAATAAGTTTTTATAAAGTCCTTCCTCTTCTCCAGGTCCAATAAATATTCACATACATTTAAGAGAGAGAATGCAAAACTGGTCATTCTTGGTTATCTTTGCAGATATATAACAAATTGAGAACAGTGGAGCACATGACTGTCTACAAGAAGGAGGCCATCCCGAGCAGGTTCTACTACAAGAAAGGGAAATTTGTCTCTCCTTTGACCTTAGTGGCCGATGAAGGATGGTTCATAACTGAGGTAAATATAAAACATATGATAAGATATTCATTATACAAATTCTTTCAAACAGCCAAAGGTAAACAATTATTTACCTTTTCCACCTGAAAAATTTCACTTTTGCTTAAGTCTCATTTGTTGTATTATTTCCTTCTTTAGAGAATCCAGAGGCTTGGTCAGGTGACTCTGTAGACGCAAACTGGAGACTCCGACCCAGAGCCATGGTTTAGACTTCATGGCTCCAGACTTGCTGTATTTTAACAAATGGGCCTTAACTCAATTACCCAGGCTTACAGTGTAACCTATTCAGTTTAAAGTGGAACAGTTACTGTGAACCAAAGCAATTGCTTTAGGGCAGCGAAAAGCCAGGAGAGGCTCGGCTTTGCTTTCACCTTAAAGGGAAATGATTGGCAGACAAAAGTCCACAGGTCCAGGTCTCTGGTTTGCCAACTTGATTTTACAGAGCTTATCTTGCATTTTGGGCCCAAACCCTAATTGCCTGGTGCCCGGATGATTTCAGCAGCTTCCTCCATGCCCACCTGGACTCCAAGCTCACCAGGCCCTTGCATCAGCTTCTGATACCCGGCCAGCTGGTAAGGCACCCCAAAGGGGAATCCGCAGTCACGTCCTGTTTAGAGTCAGTTCCCAGCCAGGGCCTGGATCACTGTCAGTATGAGTACGAAGCTGGGTTACAAACTGATCAGACTACAGGCTAAAAGAGAGTAGCAGGTGTTGGCGCATGAGGGTTGTTGGTCGAGGCCAACAAAGTACAGTCAAATTCGAGGTTGCGCATCTGTAGATTCAACCAACTCTGATCAGAAATATTCAGGGGGAAAAAAATCCAGAAATTTCCAAAAAGCAAAACTTGAATATGCTGGATGTTGGCAACCATTTACATCACATTTTCATTGTATTTACAACTATTTACAAAGCATTTCATTGTATTAGGTATCATAAGTAATCCAGAGATGATTTCAAATATACAGGAGGATGTGTGTAGTTATATGCAAATACTGTGCTGTTTTGTATAAGGGATTTGAGCATCTACAGATTTTGGTATCCGAGGGGATCCTGGAAACAATCCCCTGTGGATACCGAGGGACGACTGTATAAGGCCTAAGAGTGGTATTTAATCTGCCAGAGTGAGGGCAGGTGGCGATGGGCAGAAGTACCGATCAGGCAAAACGAGTGGACATCTAGCGACCCAGGTGTGGAAAACGGGGATTCCCTGACGTAAACTTCAGTCGTTCGGGAGGACTGAGCTGTTCCTGTGTGCTCTCAGACCAAAGAAGCAGCTGGTCGCTGAGGAAACAAAGCAGAACTGGTCAGAAATGTCAGCTGCGCTGTCCGCGGCCAAGCTGGGTCCTCTGATCGGCAGACTTTGGCTTCCTATGCCATGTGATTTTGGAAGTTTCCAAGAAGGTCCCTCTGCCCCCTAACGCTCTCTCCTCTAAGTGCCCTAACGCTCCTGGTCACTTTATCACACCGTTTGAAGTTCACCCGGAGTGAGGTTATTCTAGGCTCACAGCGTTTTCATCTCCAGTGGTTTTCTTAGGACTTTGCACTGAACACACGTGCAGTCAGGTGGGTCACCTGACTGGGTACCTCTTCAATTTTATTCCATCAAGCCAACTTCCCAAGCCGTACAAAAGGGCTTACATTTTGCAACTTGTTCCATTTAGAATATTCTGGTAAAATTGTTTTAAGTTTTTAAAAGCAAATAGATGCTGAGGGTTAATCCACAGTTAACTGTCACTCATTTCTCTGTAGGACTATGTGCCTCTATTGTTTACTTTCTCACATTTAGCTGAAATCAACCACACTGAGAGGCTGGTCCGTGGCAGGGAGGGAGATTATAAGAGTACAGAGGTGATTTGAGATAATTTATGGAAAAACTGGCTTACATAGGGAGAGTGGCAAAGCCAGAGGGTGTCATGAAGACAGTGGACAACTCATGAGGAGCCATCTCAGTTCCTCCAGGAGGGGTGGACAGTCACCAGGGAAGTTGCTCCAGCCGTCAGTGCTGTCAGAGAAGGTTCAGTCTGGAAGTATCTGAACTGTCAGTACAGTGTCTCGGCATTAGCACATCTAGCAAGACGACGCACGTTTTCCCAATGGGTGATTAAAACACAGTGATGGGGAGACTTGGGGTATCAGTCAAGATGCTCTTGGTTATAAGTCACACACCACTTGAATAAATGGGCTAAATAATAAAGATTCATTATCTCACATAGCTAGAAGTTTAGAGGTAAGAAGTTCCAGGGTGGTTCATCCAGCAACTCGATATCAAGGCCCTGAGTCAGTTCTTCTGCAGTTCTTTCGGCTTTCCCTTCAGAGCACAAGATAACTGCTGTAGCTCCAAGCATCCCATCCTTCAGTTCATCCCAAAGCAGGAAAGCAGGGATGTGGCTTCTTCTTGTACATCTCATACTTTTATTAGGGAGCAAAATATATATCCCAGAATCAGAGGCAGATAGAAGTTTTGTGGGACTCTCATGATTATAATAAAATTAGGGGGAGGAGGTCTCTCTTTAAGAAAGTAATACTTAATTATGAATATAAAATTAGATACAGGGACTTGGAAGAAACCCATGCAAGTGAGAAGTCCTGTTGCTTAAGCTTCTGTAACCGCCCTATAAATCCGCCTCAGCCCAGAACCCACCAGCAAACTTCCCTTTAGGCCTCATCACTCAACTCACCAGCGTGGCTAGAAGACTCCTGCCTTGAGTCGCTTCGGTCCTAAGATAGGGTACTGTGCCGGCATGCAGGCCAGGCCACCACAATCGCAAGACCAGCGTGCGACAGCAGCTGGGAATCCGGCAGACAAGGTCTCTGAAACTTAGATCAGCAGAGAAAAGGAGGGGAGAGGAGAGTGAGGACAAACGACGCCATCGCTAACGTTCTGACTGGTGGTGGCCACTTAGGCCAGTGATGGATCCGACGATGCCGCCTCCCACCCCGCCTCCACTTCACTCGTACCTCCCCCGCTTCCCAGCACCCACCTGCTGAGGTCCAAGTACCTGCTCCCTTGCAGGAAACTGGCATATTCCACTGTCTGTTGAGAGTGAAGCAATATGGTAATTGTGCACTATATATTATATCATTATATCATTTCATATCACATATATCATATCATGTCATATTATATTGATTTTGTATGTATCACACAAATACACACACACACACATTTGTTTGTGTAAATCAAAACTAAGAGTCAACCAGTTAGCAAGGGCCACCTGGTATTTCATCCTGTGGCTTAAGAAGCAGAGAGAAACCATAAGAACGGAAAGGAAGAACGCCTGTTGACAATGACTTGAATAGCTTTTTAAAAATATATAATTATTTCAAAAGGGAGATTTGAGGTAATTTTAAAATACTTGATGCAGAAATTTTTTTTAAAGAAGGAAATCAGAAGGAAGATAATAGGTTGAGAAAAAATAAAATTAGTTCTGAAGGACTAGTGTTAACCCCCTAAATGGAGAGACTGTCAGTGTTACCTCATTTCGCTTCAATTAGTAATAATGGGTATTATAAGACTAATCTTCACTTATCATGCCTGGCTCATTAGATACTATAGAATGACTCCTCCCCCGGAGATTCAATGAAGTGAACGTAAAGTTATTTTGCCTTGCGCACATATAAAAAATCTGTCACGAAAAATTTCTTCTTAAAATGTTGGTTGGCAACATCGGCAACAATAATAATAGCCATCTTGGATTAAGTATCTCCTAGTTACCATTTCTGTTTCTCTCCATGACTCTGCATTGTAGATATTGCTAGTCCTGAAAATCACTTACCATAACATAGAATGGAACACAAGGTGGTTCTGAGCTTCCTAGCCGCCAATTCAGAGAAGAAAGTGCAATCAGTTATATCAATGTAACGTACGGTGTCTGTAACATAAAAACACAAGTGTTTCTTGAGAAAATCATGCCGGTCCCTGGTCCTGAGAGAAATTTAGGTATTTTTTAGTCAATCTTTTGCGGTACCTTAGTTTTCTAGACTGAATACCTTAATCATTTTACTCCTGTCTTCAAATTTACGGATTTTTATTTTTAAGATTCGTATATGAAAATTTTAATTTCTGAGCCTACTTAGATTTAATACTGGGGTTTTATCTCTTTATCTTCTGAAAAATCCTAAAAACGAGTGCCCATTCTTTCCCTGCTGTCTTAGACTTTTTTCTTTTACATCTCTCTGTTGTTTATTATACCTACTTGACTATAGAGAATTGAAAACGCCGTTCTAGATCCCTGTCCCTGCACTGTGCCAGCACTATTAATCTCCCACGTTCTTATTTGCAGAATCTCTCCCCACATGGTAAAAGATCATTGTGTTTGCTCTGGAGCCTAACTACCAGCGCACAGCCCGGGTGAGGGTGCTCCTGTTCTGCATTGCACTTTGCATCTGCAGCAGGGCGAATTCTCAGCCCTGAAAGCAACTTCTCTGGGTCCAGGTTTGGATAGCGGATGAGTTTTTTTTTTTTCTGGCTTTGACATGATTAGGAAAACAGCTGAGTCAGGACAAATCGATGCTGGTTGGGGACAATAAAATAGAATCCCACCTCCTCTTCCTTTTTCCCTACAACCACCATCCCGTAAACATACAAGATTTGAGTTCCTTGGCAAAAATGCCATTCCCATCTAGACACCAACGTTTTGCCACCAATTTAAGTTTTGCAGACTCTGAGGCAGCTGCTCTAACAGGAAGATGCAACCGAGTTCTTTTTTTTTTTTTTCTTAATGGTCACTTGGAGGGCTATCACTGAAAAAGATAAAGATAGGGAAACCTATTGACTTTGTCACCTGGAATTGCACAAGCATCCAGCGTGACGGCTGGCATCATACAAGAAGCTCCCTGCCCAGTGGCTCCCCCAGTTTGTTTCTCACTGTGCTCCTTAGTGTACAGACTAGATTTCCAACTACTGCCAGTCCCTTCTCTGGCCTCCCCTCCTGCAGGGGCAGAAACCTGAAGGTGTTCATCTTCCCAGAGGACTAACCATGAAGAGGCAAAAGACACAG